GAGAAAAATAAAAGTGAGTCAATTGATGGTTTACGCTGAAGGGGAAAGAGTCACGAATTCGATGGAAAAATAAAGAGGAAAACAACATTTGGAAATATGGTGTTTCTTGGCGTGAGCTTAAGGCTTATGGAACAAATGTTCTGTCTCGAGCCAGCTAAGTAAACTATGTTATTCCTTGAAAAAATACCTAAAATAATTTATATATATATATATATATATTTTTTTTTTTTTTTTTTTGCCTGTAAGGACGATGATCATTTCCATGAGTTTTAAGTCTTTCGAGTCGATCATAATGCCCGAGGTTTTGCAATGAAAAAGAACGCCAGGAGAAGAACCTATACACCCACCATTATGCGATGGGTTTTGCCCTTGGTTTGGCACCTCATCGGCATATTAGGCTATGTGGCTTTACATAGGTCGCATATGTTGATAAAAGAGACATTCGAAGCCACGAAAATTCGACTCTTCTGAAGAAAACATTATTTTCCTTTACTTCTACGGATTTTGTGGGAAAAGTTTAATTTTTCACAAGTTTCCGATCTCAATACCAATCTTCAACCGTGTTAAATATATTTTTCTACAAAAGATAGTTTTAATAACTACATTTTAAATTTAAATGTGTTTTGTACAGGGTTGCCCATATTCGACGGACCCATCTAGCAACGCCATAACTTTTGACAGAGATGTCACATCGCTTAATGACATACCGCGTTTGAAGCGTCATTCCAAGCAGATTTTTACCATGAGCGCTCTGAAATAGTTGAAATTTCCATTCAACAGAAGAAGTCAATTGTGAAAACTCAACGTGCTTTTAAAACATAAAAAAATGTGAGAAGTGCGCCTTCTAAGAACACCATTAAGCGTTTGTACGAAAAATTTTCGACTGGTAAGGATCTTTCTAATCCGAAGAGGCCATATAAAAGTCGACCAAGGCGATCGGCCGAGAACATCCCAGTTGGGCATGGCTCGGACCACTTTACAACGGATTATTCGCATTGATTTGCATTTGTTCCCGTACAAAATTCAATTGATGCAAAGAATGTTGCCTGCGGACAAGCCTCGTCGATTGGAATGGGGCCGTGCTTTTAAAACATTAAAAAATGTGAGAAGTGCGCCTTCTAAGAACACCATTAAGCGTTTATACGAAAAATTTTCGACTGGTAAGGCTCTGTCTAATCCGAAGAGGCCATATAAAAGTCGACCAAGGCGATCGGCCGAGAACGTCCCAAAAACGCCATTCTCAGCAGTTGGGCATGGCTCAGTCCACTTTACAACGTATTATTCGCATTGATTTTCATTTGTTCCCGTACAAAATTCAATTGACGCAAAGAATGTTGCCTGCGGACAAGCCTCGTCGATTGGAATGGGCCCAAAGAGTCATCGAAACGGCCGAAGATGACGAGCAATTTTGGAACAAAATTATCATGTTCGATAAAGCCCATTTCACATTGAATGGGACCGTAAATAAGCAAAATTGCCGTTTATACGCCACTGAAAATCCTCAGCAGTCGCATAACACACAAGTCGCATAACAATCGATTTTGTGAAGAATTTGTTTCCGGGCCGTTTGATGTCGAAAAGTGGTGATTTGGACTGGCCACCGCGTTCGCCCGATTTGACGCCGCCTGACTTCTTCTTGTGGGGATATTTGAAGTCAAAGGTTTACGTTAACAAGTCAAGGACCTTAGAAGAGCTCAAGGACAACATTCATGAAGAAATAGCCGCTATTCCGACCGAAATGTTGGCAAATACGATGGAAAATGCAGCAAAAAGGGCACAAGACGTCATCAACGCCAGAGGCGGTCATTTGAGAGATATCATATTCAAAAATTGATGTAAACAAATCTACTTGGAACAAATTAAATGATTAACATTGCCAACCGCCAAATTTTTATTTTTTTCTTTGATTTTTTAAAAACAAAACATGGGTCCGTCGAATATGGGCAACCCTGTATATAAATTGCTGTAGACAAAATATTAGCTTGAACATTTGTTAAAACTTCGTATTTTTTTCTAAAAATAGTTTTATTTTCCAAACAAGTTCCATTATAAAATAAATTTGTCTATTTTGTTGTTGTTCCTCACAATTAATAGATAAATATGTCGTATGAGACTTTGTAGAGCTTTGTTACATTATGTGGCCATATTATTTCACACGCAGATGAGGCACAAAACATTTAAATCATGTTTACGATTAAAAATTATTTAAATAAATAAAATAACAACAACAACAACTCCAACATCAAGTACATGACATAATAAAATGTTGATTAATATTATGTAAATGAAGAAAGTCCACCGGCTGTGAGTGGACATATTATAATGATGCCCCCCTCTGGCAGAGGTGGGGAAGTGGTTAAGCGGCCCGCCAGCAATAGCTTGAATTTAGAGGAAATTGAAGAAATTTAATACAACAAACGCACAACCTTCCATGTAATTTATAAATGTCTCTAATCGCCACAAATATTAACCGCTTTTACCTGGTGGTCATAATGACAACAACAAATGGAGACGGAGCACTCTCCGTATTACGCAAAAAGAAGAAATTCTTCTGGTCATCATTACTTCACTTGCTGTGTGTGCCATCGTGTAAATATTATGGCAGCTATTTGATGGAAGGTAGCTTCAAATGGGGTCTTACCAATTGCCAGCAAATGACCAGGGAAAGAAGAAGAGAGAAAACGACAACATTTACCATCTAATTATATAATGGCAATAGAGATCGCTGCACCGAACTGGGCACAATCGAACAGTAACATCCACCGTAACTGAATTAAAGTAACTTCAACGGGAATTAATGGGCGGTTTTGCACCGCTACTAATAAACGATAGGAAAAAAATAGAGAAAGAAAGAAATTCAATTCGATTCGATTTATAACCGAACCGTTCGGAATGCAACAACAATATCGGTTAAATGTCTATCTATCTATCGATCGATCTGTGTTGTAACAATCAGCGGCAGAGAGCAGCATTTCACTGGCCAAAGAAAAAGTGTAGAAAATTGCATCATTTTCCCCCCGAAATGCAACGGCGAATGCCAAGGTCTCGTAACGTTCTGCAACATGTTCCGCTTATGGTTCATTGTTCAACTGTAAAAGGGCAGGAAATGTGCGTGTAATGCATGCCTAGTATGAAGTAATGAAAATTCGAACAGAAAGTAGAGAAATGTACTATAGCGTAATAGAGGAGGGGTACCGCAATACCAATAAGGAAGCAACGATTACGACATATATATTTGATGGGCATTGATTTTACAGAAAGAAAGTTGAATGTACTGAAGTTTTAGGCGCAACATATTTTAACACTTTTTTTCAATACGAAATTTTTTCTACAAAAAAATGTTTCCCCTGAACATTTTTCAATACGAAAAAATCTATAACGAAAAATTTTTTCATCGAAAATTTTTCTATAACGAAAAAATTTTTCATCGAAAATTTTTCTATAACGAAACACTTTTTCATCGAAAATTTTTCTATAACGAAAAATTTTTTCATCGAAAAATTTTCTATAACGAAACACTTTTTCATCGAAAATTTTTCTATAACGAAAAATTTTTTCATCGAAAATTTTTCTATAACGAAAAATTTTTTTCATCGAAAATTTTTCTATAACGAAAAATTTTTTCATCGAAAATTTTTCTATAACGAAAAATTGTTTCATCGAAAATTTTTCTATAACGAAAATTTTTTTATCGAAAATTTTTCTATAACGAAAAATTTTTTCATTGGAAATTTTTCTATAACGAACAATTTTTTCATCGAAAATTTTTCTATAACGAAAATTTTTTTCATCGAAAATTTTTCTATAACGAAAAAATTTTTTCATCGAAAATTTTTCTATAACGAAAAATGTTTTCATCGAAAATTTTTCTATAACGAAAACTTTTTTCATCGAAAATTTTTCTATAACGAAAAATGTTTTCATTGAAAATTTTTCTATAACGAAAAATGTTTTCATAGAAAAATTTTCTATAACGAAAACTGTTTTCATCGAAAATTTTTCTATAACGAAAACTGTTTTCATCGAAAATTTTTCTATAACGAAAACTGTTTTCATCGAAAATTTTTCTATAACGAAAACTGTTTTCATCGAAAATTTTTCTATAACGAAAACGGTTTTCATCGAAAATTTTTCTATAACGAAAACTGTTTTCATCGAAAATTTTTCTATAACGAAAACTGTTTTCATCGAAAATTTTTCTATACCGAAAAATTTTTTCATCGAAAATTTTTCTATACCGAAAATTTTTCTATACCGAAAATTTTTCTATACCGAAAAATTTTTTCATCGAAAATTTTTCTATACCGAAAAATTTTTTCATCGAAAATTTTTCTATACCGAAAAACTTTTTCATCGAAAATTTTTCTATACCGAAAAATTTTTTCATCGAAAATTTTTCTATACCGAAAAATTTTTTCATCGAAAATTTTTCTATACCGAAAAATTTTTTCATCGAAAATTTTTCTATACCGAAAAATTTTTTCATCGAAAAATTTTCTATACCGAAAAATTTGTTCATCAAAAATTTTTCTATAACGAAAAATTTGTTCATCGAAAATTTTTCTATAACGAAAAATTTGTTCATCGAAAATTTTTCTATAACGAAAAATTTGTTCATCGAAAATTTTTCTATAACGAAAAATTTGTTCATCGAAAATTTTTCTATAACGAAAAATTTGTTCATCGAAAATTTTTCTGTACCGAAAAATTTTTTCATCGAAATTTTTTCTATACCGAAAAATTTTTTCATCGAAATTTTTTCTATACCGAAAATTTTTTTCTTCGAAAATTTTTCTATACCGAAAAATTTTTTCATCGAAATTTTTTCTATACCGAAAAAATTTTTCATCGAAATTTTTTCTATACCGAAAAAAAATTTCACCTAAAAATTTTCCCCGAAAAATAAAATATTTCTATTTTTTCAATTTTTAAGGACATTTATTTGGGTGTAATTTCTACTCTACTCTCTACAAAAATTGTGCACAAAGTGTTCTAATTTTTTACTCTCCTCTCTTCTTTCGCTCAACATAATCTCTCAACACCTCATATAAGAATACCAAAAATGAAATGGTTATGCCCAACATCCATAGCAAGAGAATGCCAACAAAATTGGCCATACCCAATTTTACGGGACCCATATCTTCGATATTCGAATAGAGCGTGGCCTCAACCTGCTTCTGCTTTTGGACATTCATATTATCGGCTACAGCACGCCATTCCCAATAGTTATCCAACCCGGCCGAATGCCACCAATAAATCAGGTTATCAAAAGCCGATAACATGGGCCAACATCGGGCGGTAAAGGCCACAGTATATTGGAAATATAAATCCTCCTGCATTATTTTCAAATGATTGATACTTTCCGTGGTCAGATAATCGCCAATGGCAAAGTGTCCTATAAGAACGAACAAGTTATTGAGATATCTCCTTTACTCCATTATTAAAACCTACCAAATGGCAAACGTTCCACAGTAAAGCCCCAATTTGATGGTGAGCTAGCCAACTGTTCCAGTTTTTCATCGGAATATATAAAGAAGTTCTCCAAAATGCCATTAATACGATCCTAGAACATTTAATTGAGGTTAGATAGAAATATATCACTTAATCTCAGTTTGTTCCTACATCCTCTGCATTGCGTATGGCCGAGACCCAGGCCTCCGAATTGGCAGCCCATTGTAATTTGTGCGACCACATACGATCCAAGGTATCGGCAGCTTCATCATAACTTTAACAAAAAAAATCGATAATTTTTCCAAATAAAAAATTCCAAGAATCCCTCCTCCTACCTTGGTACCGTTAAAATACTGGCCAATCCTCCACCATAAATACTGGTTATGATCAAATCATTTAGGAAACATGTGAACAGTAGGACCCTCACAGTCTGTGAAATTACCTTTTTCGATCCCGATTGTGATACAAATAATTTAAGAGTTGTAACTATCCCAAAATTTAAACTCTCCGGCCAAGAGTCATTCATTGCGGAAACAAATCTCGTCTCAAATCGATAGGTCAAGGCCAGACTAATGACCTCTACAAAGAGATAAACCAAAACAGCTAACCAGAGAGTGAATTGAAAAGGTTCCAGGGGTAAAATCCAACTTGCCAAACGCCTGAAAGCAATTTTGTTTTTGAATGGACGATAAATGCACAGAGGTATTTTACCTTGGTGCTGGTACCAAACATGTTATACCCGATCTGACCAAATACATCGACATATCCAGATATATGTAATCGGTATCCCTGTTGAAGAAAAAAGACACGGTTATTATTTTTTATACCAAAATATTTTTTTCTGTAGAATTGTGCTTTCGTTTATATTTTATCACTGGGAAAATATGTCGGTTACAATTTTTTCACCACCGAAATGTGTAGGATAACATTTTCGCGTAGAAAATGTGGCCGATCAACGAGTATCGTTAATAAAATGTTGCAGATACACATTTTGCATAACGAAAATGTTGCGGATACATATTTTTCATAACGAACATGTTGCGATACATATTTTGCATGCTCGGAAAACACACGAACATCCTCTCGGCTCTCAAAGTGTGCATCTGGGGCTCGGAAAACCCAAGAGAAGATACGGCATTTTATCGATATATTTTACATTGGGAAAATATTCCGAATATATTTTTTTTTCGACCGAAATGTGATCGACAAAAATATTTTTGCAGATACACATTTTGCATAACGAAAATGTTGCGGATACATCTTTTGCATAACGAACATGTTGCGATACATCTTTTGCATCCTCGGAAAACACACGAACAGCCTCTCCACTCTCAAAGTGTGCAGTTTGTGCTGTTGGATTCTTCTGGATCTTTACAAGGACTGGGTTAGCTCTCAAGAAACCAATAATCGAAATAATAGCATTTGGGGCTCGGAAAATCCAAGAGAAAAGAGATTACGGTTATACGGTGTAGAAAAGTGTTTTCGATAATAATTTATCGATATATTTTATCATTGGGAAAATATTTCGAATACACTTTTTTACGACCGAAATGTGATCGACAAAATCTTTTTGCGCAGAGAATGTTGCAGATCAAAGATTATCGTTATGAAAATGTTGCAGATACACATTTTGCGTAAATAAAATGTTGCGGATACATCGTTTACATAACGAACATGTTTCGATACATTGGATTACACTATCCTCAAAGTGTGATCAATTCGGGACCTTTCACTGGATTACACTATCTAGTGATCAACAATCAGTTTAGGGCCAACATAGAGATAAGGTCTATGCTAACAGTTTATAGTCGATTCAAGACCTCAAACATAGAATTCATGAGGCTATCGAGGACATTGGCCAACAACAAAGATCCATTTAACAACATTTATTTTTGTTTTTTTTTAACATCTATTTTTTTGAAAATCCTTCAGGCCTATGAAAGATCTGCCAATAGAAAATCAGCAATATTGATTCTGCCTTTAGGAATGACGGAGAATGATAGCCAAAAAAACTTCTTCAGATATTCTTTGTAGGAAAATGACCTTCCTCCATTCATCTATAGGCCGATTACCTTCTTCTATATACAGAAGACATTCTTCTTCGAGACTTCCATATATATAAAATGTTCTTTATGTCAGAAGACCCAATTCAGGATGGAATAAAGCATATTTTCACATTTCCTATATACCCAAGGCTTTACACAAGTTTTCTAAAGAAAAATGACCTTCAGGACATTTAAAGACAGAATATCTACTTCTGGACAGAAGCCTTTTTTCAGATCATTTATAGACACAAAGCCTAGTACATGTCTTCTACAGTTAGAAGAATTATTCTTCAGTCAAACCTGTACAAGGGGTTTCTCTGGAAAAAATATTATATTTCCTGTAAAAAATTCTCAAGCCAACAATATAAAACATGTCTCAGGCGTATTTAGAATTGTTTTCTATATAATATAATCTCTCAGCCCTCTTCAGCAAGCTGCGAATGAAGATTTTTTATCGCTAAAATGTTAAGAACAAAATATTTCTTTTACCAAATTTTTCATTAAAAACTTTTGCGAATAAAAAGATTTCGTGTTTAAAATGTTGCGCATAAGGCACGTTCTTGGGCAACATGTTGCAGATATAATAGAGAAAAAATTCTGCCGAATCATATTCATTTGGAAACAGCCGAACTATTCAAGACTGGTGGCCAGATGCTGGTCAGGAGCATTCACCAGCTGATTAGCATAATTTGGCTAGATGAATGCATGACCAATGATTGGAACCTCAGCATCCTGCCCGTGCACAAAAAAGGAGACAAGACGATATGTGCCAACTATAGAGGAATAAGTCTCCTTCCCATCGCATATAAAGTGCTATCCAGTGTGCTGTGTGAACGATTGAAGACAATGAAGTCAATGACATCATCGGACCATACCAATGCGGCTTCAGACCTGGCAATTCACCATTGACCAGATTTTCACTCTGCGCCAAATCCTGGAAAAGACCCACGAAATACACATAGACACATACCACCTATTTGTCGATTATAAAGACACATTCGACAGCCCTATCCGTTCAGAGGTGTTTAAATCCATGTCTGCGTTCGGCATTCCTGCAAAATTAATACGGTTATGAAGGATAACTTTAAGGTCAGCAGTTAAAGTAAGAAAGGACCTATCGGAGCCCTTCACTCTGTACACCAAGCAACACATGTTACTCGCTTACGCCGATGACATCGATATAATGGCTCGAACATTGCGAGCGGTATCAGCCACCTTTGAACAAATTGAAAAGAAGTCTGCCAAAGTGGGTCTGGCAGTAAACGGCGAGAAGACCAAGCTGATGGTATCAACGCGCAAGAAGTCCAGTAGACTCGGACCAACTGTGGAACTTGAGAACTACATCTTCGAGGTAGTTAAAGACTTTATTTACCTTGGTACCGCCATAAATAAAACGAATGACATCAGTTTTGAAATTCGGAGAAGGATTGTGATGGCCAACAGATGCTACTATGGTCTAAGTAAGCAGTTTAGAAAGAAGGTCACCTCCCGCCAGACCAAACTCACACTTTACAAGACGCTGATACTACCCGTGCTACTATATGGATCGGAAGCATGGGTACTTGCGCAAGCAGATGAGGCAGCTCATAGGGGTTTTTGAGAGAAAAATTCTCCGAAAGATCTACGGGCCGATCTGCGTCGACGGTGAATATCGGCGTCGAGTGAACCACGAGCTTTACAATTTATACGCGGACATCGACATAGTCAGTCGTATTGAGCTGCAGCGACTACGGTGGCTAGGCCATGTTGTGCGGATGAATGAAAATGCCCCAGCTCAAAAGGCATATAAAAATGAGCATACTGATGGTTCCCGTAGAAGGGAAAGGCTACGAATTAGATGGAAAGACCAAGTAGAAAACAACATTTTGGAACGTGGTCTTCCAAATTGGTCGATTTGCGCACAAGACCGACGCGCTTGGAAATCTTTTTAAGCTCGGCTTATGGAACAACCGTTCTGTAACAAGCCAGCTATGTAAGTAAGTAAAGTATAAAATATTTACATTTATTAAATGTTGCGGATCGAAACCCTATTTTAGCAGTATTTTGGATCGTTTTTTTCTTAGAAAATAATTTCTCAGTCCTCTTTGAGACTGTTGCGAATTTAATGTATCACATAGGAAAAAACTGAGGGATAAAATCTTGCAGAAAATATTTTCATAAAGAAAGTAGTTGGGATAAGTTATACTCTTTGACAACATGTTGCAATGTAATATAACAAATATTGCCAAAGAATATTTGCTAGCAGAAAATGTTGCAGAAACATTTTCGTTTGGAAAATGTTGCATATAAAATATTCTCTTAAAAAAAATTCTATTTCGAATACTTTTGTGGAAAATAAATTGATAAAATATTTTTGTGAAGAAAATATTCGGATTTGTGTGTGAAAAAAAACACCAAATAAATTATTTTTTGTTGGGAAATTGTTGCGAAACATGTTCTTGGAGAAAATGTTGCGGATAAACATGTAATTCCAAAAATTTCCAATAATATTCTGTGGAGAAATTGTATAAAAAATTGTTGTATGAGAAAAATTCTGGATTCAATTCTATTTTTGGATAAACTATTTTTAGGTGAATAAGTGTTGCTTAATACAATGTTGCGGGTAAACATTTTTGGCGGACAGACATCTGTCGTATAGAGTATCCGAAACAAATAATGCGTAATAAATATTTTCGAAAAGATTTCGAAAGAATTTTTTTGTGGAGAAAATATTCCGAATAAAATACTTTCGGATGAGAAAAATGTTGCTGAAACATGTTGCTGAAGAAAATGTTGTGGATAAACATTGTTGCGGAACAACTATTGCATATTAAATATTTGCTATAATTTAATCTGTCACATTAAATACTTTGCAGCGAAATTATTCCAATACTTACAAACTTACCATGAATACATTGCACTCACAGTGATGTCCGCCATTCCCTTGGCCACCATTCCCAAACTTCCTGTCCCTGATAAATTTGAATATACCTCTCCCCAATCATCGGCCTCCGCTGAAGTCATTCCCAAGTGTTAATTGATAAATAATTACAGTTCACCGCGTGTATCCAAATACTTACAGCTGTCAATCAATACCGTGCAATTAAATATTTCACAAAATGTCAAAATGACCCTGGCTTCGGTGCCATCAATTTGTACATTGCCCTCTATGGCTCCGCCAAATACCAAATCATAGGAATTATATTTATCCTGAACGTAATTAATAACCAAATATGGTCGATAATCCATACCCGGCACAATTATTTCACGTCCTTGTAAATTGGCAATTTTATTGGGAAATAAATTTACTCCGAAATCAAAGGAGGAGGTGTTTGCAAAGAAGCGATCCAGGAGGTATAACTTGCCAGGGCAATCTGCTCTGGGTCCAACAAATTTATTTGTTTTCAATTCGAAAATTTCTGAATTGATTTGGTCGCCAGATATTATAAGTATATTTGGTTGATCTGAAAAAGAAATCAGAGGTTTGGGATTTATATTTCAGAGTGGAAGAAAATATAAAATTTGAAATTCTTCTACACACCTTCAAAAAACCTTAGCCTCTCCAAGCAAGCCTCGAGAGACCTATTAGAGCTTGCAAACACAAAGTGATTGATTTTCGAACGCCACACCGAATAACGACTGGCATTTTCAAAACTTTCAATGAACTTCAGTATATCATTTCCAAAGGCCAAGAAGCTCTGCAATACCTGAAGTTATATATAAAATTTAAATTCATATCTTGGACCTTACCTCACAGTGTGACTTTTCTATGGCCACAGAGAGCATCAGAGTGAGATTATTGGTTTCCAAGAATTTTTCTCGGAACTTTTGAACCTCATTGGCCACATCATCCACATCTAATCGATGTGGGTGTATATTGATTATGGTAAAGGGATATTCTGAGATTTTGGTTTCCAAATTCAACAGCTCATTTTCAGGCCATAATACACAAATTGTGGTATTTTGGAAATACAATTGGACTACAATACAAAAAATATTATTTAATTTTTTTTATAATTTTCCCACAGACTTACCTATCAAATTTACAATTGGTGACCAATTGATGACGGCCGTGCTTGGCCACATTGCTGCACCAGTTTCTTTGGCCAACAAATATTTTGCAATCTGTTATGCGGCCATTCAAATTTCCTCGTTTACCCCATTTTCAGGGGTTGTAAATCGCTTTTATAGTTGTTGCTGCACCATAAAAATGAATGATGATTGCAACATCGAATTGCTATCAAGTGGCATTTCTTTATTTGCTCTCTGGAAAATAATGGCTGAAATAAAATTTTGAATTGTTGTGTTTTTGCAAAAAAAGCAGCAACAACAACAACAATAAATTAAGCAATTTGCATTTTTGGTGAATAATTTGTTGGCAAATAAACACATATTTTGCATTTGCCCAACAAGGGGACCATGGGAAGACTTCAATTATGACTTCCTAAATGGTTGGGGTATTTCTTGTTATGGGGCTTTTAACAACATCAATTATTCGGTAGTCAAGGAGATAATTTTGAAATGTGCAATGCAATTTTTGAATTTTTAAATTGTTTTTTTTTTATATAAATTAGGACATTAGGAAAACTGAGGATTCTTTTTCTATAGAAAAAAAGTTCCTCAGGCCCTCTGAGGATTCTTTTTCTATAGAAAAAAATTCCTCAGGCCCTCTGAGGATTCGTTTTCTATAGAAAAAAATTCCTCAGGCCCTCTGAGGATTCTTTTTCTATAGAAAAAAAATTCCTCACGCCCTCTGAGGATTGTTTTTCTATAGAAAAAAATTCCTCAGACCCTCTGAGAATTCTTTTTCTATAGAAAAAAATTCCTCAGGCCCTCTGAGGATTCTTTTTCTATAGAAAAAAAATTCCTCAGGCCCTCTGAGGATTCTTTTTCTATAGAAAAAATTCCTCAGGCCCTCTGAGAATTCTTTTTCTATAGAAAAAAATTCCTCAGGCCCTCTGAGAATTCTTTTTCTATAGAAAAAAATTCCTCAGGCCCTCTGAGGATTCCTTTTCTATAGAAAAAAAAATTCCTCAGGCACTCTGAGGATTCTTTTTCTATAGAAAAAAATTCCTCAGGCCCTCTGAGGATTCTTTTTCTATAGAAAAAAATTCCTTAGGCCCTCTGAGAATTCTTTTTCTATAGAAAAAAAATCCTTAGGCACTCTGAGGATTCTTTTTCTATAGAAAAAAAAATTTCTCAGGCACTCTGAGGATTCTTTTTCTATAGAAAAAAATTCCTCAGGCCCTCTGAGGATTCTTTTTCTATAGAAAAAAATTCCTCAGGCCCTCTGAGGATTCCTTTTCTATAGAAAAAAAATCCTCAGGCACTCTGAGGATTCTATTTTTATAGAAAAAAATACCTCAGGCCCTCTGAGGATTCTTTCCTCAGTGGGCCTGAATTTTTTTATAGAAAAAATTCCTCCGGCTCACTGAAGAATCTTATTGGTCTTCTGCATAGGTGAGGTCTTCTCCTAGTCTTGAAAAGGCAGAAGCCGAAGTCAAAAAGCTGGTCGCCAAGGCCAAATTCTGTCTGCAAAGTTTTTAACAATAATCTGTAGAAAAAATTGATAAATGTCCCTACCTTCCGATATGAACCTCGTTATGTCATTTATTATACTATATTTATTTTTTTTTTTTCGTTCAAAATGAAATCAACAAAAAATATTTGAGATACTAACTGTATCTCTGTTCCTTATCTCTATCAAGCGAAAGATAAGAATTTTTAATATTCGCATCTTAAATCTGCTACTCTCCCAAGAAGATGAAGAGTGATCAAAGATAAAGAATTAGTTTCTTTAATAATTTCGCAGTTATTACTCGCGTTTATTAGAAATTGTAAAAAAAAAAAATAGAAAAATACTAAATATCCAAAAATTAATAAAAATACATATTGTGGAAAATACAAATGCCTTTTTAAGTGTTTTAGAATACCCAAAATTTCCCACCATTAATGCAGTTTAATAACGAAATGCAAATGTTTCATTTAACGCTTCTGGTTTTGTATCTGCAGAAAAAGCAAAAAATCTATCGAAAACGTCGACATTCAACCATTATTAGCGATGCTGCTAATCGTTGGGGCAAACGGAGAATATTTAAGGTTTGTGAACGAGAGAGAGAATGAGAGTTATCTTAATTATTAAATAAAATACATGAAACACGTAAAATATCTGAGTTTATAAATAAAGGAGCTTATCAGGTGTTTGTTGTTTAAAGTGATTTTGGAATAATTCGAAATTAAACAATTAACCATTTTCATAATATTTCTATACAATTTTGCATATCATTTTTATCATACTCATTTACAATAATTTTAATCATTTTTTTTTTTTTTGTTTTGACATGACCCTGTGTTTGAACACATTTTCTAAAGTCCAGAGAAATTTGTTTAATACTACCGTAATTAACCATAATTAAATACAATTAATCATAAAAATTTAGTTTTTTTCTCTTTGGTTTTTGTCGGAGCGTGTTGATGGCCTATGGCATATCCCACAACATTTTTTTGTTTAGTCCTTAGTTGAAGTTAACTAATTTTGAATGGATGGTCGACATGAGCTGTGGACCATCATTAACTAAATACCACGTACAAATCTTTGTTGTAAATATTTTTCATTTTAAATGTAAATTTCGAAAAACCAAAACACGTGACAGAACTTTCATTACGATGTGGAAAAAATGAAATGCTCGTGGAGATATTTGGAATGATCATTATGATCTATGTGAAAGTAAATATTTGTTAGTAGATATAATGAAAATTTCGCAACTTAGAAGCATTACTATGTACTATATAGAAATAATTTAAATCCCTACTAAAAATGATCAATATTGGTCCATTTTTAGATAAGCTGGGGAAAGACTTGAGGAATTCGCAAAGAACACAGAAGTATTGGGAGAACAATCGCATGATGCTTTCCTCTAGTTCTCTTTCCTTTCCACAGCCGGCAATAAGCCAATCACTGTCTTATGTTTATGTCCTAGCGTGTGGTGGCGTAAACCAACCTAACGTAGGTACACCAACATATCCAGAGGGAATGCATAGGTTTGATTAAAAAAAAATGGTGAACTTTTTTCCATAGTTAGGATACCTTCCATCCATAGTTAGGATACCTTCTCATATTCCTCAATAGACTAAAGACCTTCTTTTGGCCTTAGGAATAAATGTCTCAGGTCGTTTTAGACAAAATACTTTTTTGCAGATCCATCTCCATATCCTCCATCTAGTCTAGACTTCTATAGAGAGTGTACCCTTCGCAATCTTCTATACATAAAATACCTTTTTCTTTAAGACTTTCTATTGAAACAAAAACTTCTGTTTTGTTCTATTAATCAATGATCGTTGCGTTGGTGTTGTTTCTTCTTGGGAGGAATACATTTGTTTTTGTCTACAAGAGAGAGAGAGAGAGAAATAGTGGGAAAGTAGAGCAAAGTAAAATAATTGTAATATTATTAAATATAAAAATTGTTTTTTATACCCTAAACAACTATGCGAGAAATATTTGTCATAAACCCACCTTTAAGTATACCGATCGTCATATCTCGACTAGCTGAGTCGATCTAGACATGTGTGTCCGTCCGTCCGTTTGTCCATTATAATTTGTATCTTCACGAAATTTTGCATGTTGGATGGGTTCTGGCCAATGAAGACCCCTATTTTTTCTTTTTTTTTTTTTGGTAAAGATCGGTTAATATTTAGGGGATGAAATGGACCAAATACTTAATTTTTGTCGGTTTTTCTGGTCGCTCCAGAGGCCGCAATTATGGCCCAAACATCTCGAATTTTTACATGGAAATGGGGATCGGACCAAAGAATAAGCATACTTGTTTTGATAAAGATCGGTCAATATTTAGCGGGTCAAATGGACCCTGACTTTAGTGTGAAAAATTACAAAATTTGTATACTATGACGTATATATTTACTCCTGAAGGACATAAACCCGATAGTATATCCAAGAGGATTTGTTGACCTTCAAATTGATACCAAACTTTTTGTTGCATTTACTCTGATGTGGGAGTTATATGTAATTAGGTAAAGGTGACTATGTACATAGTATTACTATTCCTCTATTAGAGGACGGAAATGTGGCGCTGATAGCTTTGGAATTGCACATGAACTTCCGATTATGGTCAAGGACGACGCCTATAGTTTTCGGCGAAGTTGAGATTTCATTCAGGGGGTGCAATGAACCAAAAACTTTAATTTTGTCAGATTTTCTAGTCGCTCTAGAGACAATTGTTATATGCAGAGCATTACATATTTTACATAGTGATGATCGGTCAATATTCCGAGGGTCAAATGAACCAAAACCTAAAGTGACAATTTTTTTTATTTTACGGCGTGAAAATTCTCTTCAAGAAAAAAAAAATGGAAAATATGCCAGGCTTCGAAAGTGAAGTTGTTGATCTCGAAATATTGCCCAGGCTCAGAATATAGAACCGCAGAAATTTTGATTTTCGTGGTAGTTGTGTAGGGTATCATCTGGTCGGTCCCGCCCGACTATAATGCTCCACTCACTGTTTTTTTCTTTTTTTTTTTTTTTTGAAAAAAATATTGTCTTTCTCATGATTTTAAGAATTTTTACTTGTATCCTAAGCAAGGTACATGCACAAAATGGAAAAAAAATAATTAAGAATGACATTATGAAACGATTCAATAAAGTTTGTCTGAGTACCTTCTCATGTTCCTCAATAGACTAACAACCATATATAAGCCTTCCATAGATGGTGTATAGAACGGACTGAATATCCCATTTATTTCTTCCTTAGAGGTGGCTTGTTTAGATACTCAATTATCAGGTTCCTAGAAATTGAAGAACTCAGATATTCTATGTGGAAGATATACTCCATATCTTCCATAGAGGTCTATATGAAAATATATACACCATATCTTCTGGTCTTCTGTAGAATGGCAAATTTTCTGTGAAGCCCTCTATAAACTCAAGACATCAATCTCAATTGGATCTTCATCAGGTTGTAAAATTTTTAATTCTTACGTTTTTAAAAATTTTGGATCTGGATCAGAAATATTATAGTCTGAAAATATTCTTTACGACTCCTATAGATATAAATAAATGTGTTTTGTCTCCT